AGCCTTGTAGACCCTATAAACCGTATGAACCCTGTAAACCCTACTGAACCCTGCACCCCTAAACCTCAAACCCCTGAACCCCTACACCCCTAAACCCTAACCCCTAAACCCTAACCCCTAAACCGTAACCCCTAAACCCCTAACCCCTAAACCCTAAACCCCTAAACCCTAAACCCTTACACCCTTACCCCCTAAACCTCTAAATGCTGGAATCTGCAGGCCAAGATCACTTCGCCCACTGTGACTAACGAGCCAACAAAACAGAGGGCGGCGCGCATGGCTTCCTGTAAGGGCTGTAAGTCCCCCTTGAGTAGATAGAATATGGAGTATATGGGGATCTTATTAGAATATACCCAAAGCTATATTCCATTTACTTAAGGGGATTCTAGACCCTAAGCCCTAAACCCTAAATAGTAGCTTCCATTGTCTTTTCCATAACCCCTATAGAACCCCTATAACGCCCATATTCTATCTACTTAAGGGGATTATATCCACTTGGACTTTGTGAGGGTTCAGAGGGTCTCCAGTCTCTCACAGACCAGGACAAAGCAACTTAGGGTTTAGGGTTTGGGGTTTAAGGTTTGGGGTTTAGGGTTTGGGGCTTCGGGTTTGGGGTTTAAGGTTTGGGGTTTAGGGTTTGGGGTTTAGGGTTTAGGGCTTGGGATTTAAGGTTTAGGGTTTAAAGGTCGAAGGCCATCCGGACCCCCCTCCACCTTCACTACACCTCAGAAACACCCGCCACCGCCAGAAGCTGTACCAACACTGAAGTTGACAAGCTGCAACTAGACAATCCTGCTTCAAGAAGTGGGAGTTTCCCAAAATTATGGGTATCTTTTGGGGCCCCCACGTCCCCATAATAAGGTTCATAGTATATTGGGGTCTATATTGGGAAACCACCAAGCACAGAAGTAGCTGTAAAGAACATGCTGGGAACAAAGATAACATGAACAAGTCCTTGTGGAGCTCTTTCGTGATAACCCTTTACCATGGATAACCCTTAACCGCCTTCTTTGGCCATCTTGTTCAGGGCATTCAAGGCAATCTTCTCCTTGTGAACTTCGGCGTAGGGTTTAGGGCTTAGGGTGCGGGCCTGAGATGGGTCAGGCGCGGGATTGGTAGGAGGTTGGTAGATGGGAATCAGCTTGCACTTCTACTAGCTTGCTGTGCAGCTTCAGCTTCATAGTTTGTTCCAACTCAATCTGGAATCTAGTTGAAATAAACCCTAAACCCTAAAGCCAGTAGCCCGACCAGAATTCTGGAGCTTGTCTCAGCCAGCGCAGCCACAAGCTGGCTTACAAACCTTTTCGGGAAGATGAGGCACATGTAGGCCAGGTAGGTACAGTTCTGTCATGTGTGCCATGGCTAAACTCCGGATAGCCCCCTTGCGAACCTCTATAGTAGTCCCCTAAAATGATCCTTTATATAAACCCCCTTTAGTGAATTTGACTCTAGGTCATGTATGCATCATATTGCCTTACAAGCTCACCATTCATCCACGAGGTGAAAACGCTCCAGCCCCTCAACCATTTGACTTCGCTTCTCGGATGCCGCAAAACGTTTCACAAGACCTGCTAACGAAACTGTTTACCCTTACTTGTCCCGGTGAAGTAGATAGAATATGGGGTATATGGGGACCTCATCATGGTTTAGGACGAAGCCTGCCCCAAAGCCCCGCCATTCTTTGCAAAGCCATCTCCTGACCCTGCCCCATGGAGATGTTCAGCAGCTGGCCGTTCGCCTGCCCAGGGGTCCCTTTGTTTTGCTTAGGGCGGTGTCAACAAGTTGCCATAATGTCCG